TAATCTCTATAATCGATTTATCTGAGTAAAAGAAAAAAATCAAATCTTTGAAATAAATATATAAAGTACATAAGATTTATTAAATTAATAAATAAAAATAAAGCAATAATCTATCGAATTTTATTTTAAAAGCTCGTAATACGAATTAATATGAGTTAATTGTAATGATCCAATAAACGAATAAAAAAAAAAGAGAATAAATTGTTCTTCAAATAATTATCAATTATAATAATATTTAATAAAAAAAAACAAATACAACACAACAACAACAAAACAACAATATAAAATAATAGCATAACAGAATAATATAAAAAAAGAAGTATCAAATATATTACGCAATAAATTATTCACACTCGAAACAAAGCGTCTAACGAATACCAGTTTCGACAACAAAATGATACTCAGCGTACCTTTCAATGTATCGAATTACAAAATGGAGAAAGGATGCTCAACAATCCAACATTATACATTATACATATATATAAAATATATGTATATTTTCAGAATGTGTCGAATGTATACGAATACAAATAATAAATTTTCTCAACAAAAGTATAAGAAATGTTTTTAACTTTGTGACTTTAAATGTACAATCAAAACAAAAATAAGAATAATACGCAATAGTTGAACGTCCAGATGGTCATATTTAAGAAAAATATATATGAGAATGTATGTATGTGTGAGAATTGAATATTACTATTTCCATTTTTATACAAATATAGACAAAAAAAAATTTATAATAGATATTTTTAATAAAAATAAGCAAATTCTTACCATATTTTTATGAAAGTTGTTAAATTCTCATAATTATATATCTAAATATGATAGTATATGCAAAAATTGTTACTATGTCAAAGCCATCCCACCATCGAAGTCGTAATTAAATGATAAAGATGTTCAATTCTGGTATAATAATTATTAAAAAAATATGTATTGATTAAACACAATTTAATAATCTATAATTAAACTTAATAACTATAGTACTGTAACTTTATCACAGAAATTTTATCTAATTACACACTTTTGCCGGCGAAACGTGACTCTTCACCATGTTTTTCAACTACACACTGATATCATGCGCAATTTGATGCGCACTGGTTCCTCTCGCCATTAAATCTTAGCGCCTTTCTGATTGGTTGAAGTATAATTTCCTATTTACTTCAGTCGCGCGAAAATTAAATATGAATTTGTATATATTAAAGTCTCACAAAAATATTGATTAAAATAAAATAAGAATAAATTATTATATAAATTGATTTATTATTTATAAAAAATTAATATTCAAATTATATTAATAATCAAATTAAAGATTAAAATAGAAAAGATTGAAATAAAATATTAAAATTATTACAATATACTTAAGATTTAAAAATTTAAAAATTTCATTTACAATATATTCAAGAAATAAAAAAATATAAACATATGTGTAATGTACTGTAATAATGTAATATATTAATTTCATTATATAAATTTTTTATAGGTTTTTAATAATATCTTATTTAAAAATTGCTGAATGATATTTTTCTTGTAATTTTTAGATTATGAAAGTAATTTTTTGCATTAAAAAATAAATATTTATTATTTAACCCTCGTAAATAAAAGAAAGAATCAATTTATTTGCATTGCTTTAATAGATTTGAAAATAAAAATTTTTTTAGTAAGGATATATAATAAAACAACTTATCAATTTTTAATTTTACTTAAAAGATAAAAAATGACAAATCTCTCATGTAGAATAAGATTATAAAATATATAGGTTAATTGCAAAACATTTATATTATTCTTTTATTATAAACATTTATTTAAAAAAATTAGAAAAATTTATTATTATTTATATAACAATTTTTATCTGAATTTATTTTAAAAAATGAACAAGATTTTGTTATTTCAAAATATGAATATTAATGATACTGGCATAATATTTTCATTTTATATTTTTATTTCTGATATTATTTGATGTTATTTCAATTTTTTATTAATAATTTATTATCTTCATCATTAGTAAATACATTTATGAATAAAATTTTTCAAACTTGCTCTTGAAATATACTTTGTGAGTGGACATTATATTGAAAGATATTGTTAAATTTTATTATTTAAATCTATTACTTTCAAATTCATAACGTAATGTTCATTTGCAACAAGTATTCTTCAAATTAATTTTCGAGAGTTTTACTCTCAAAATATATTTGCATTCTTATGCATAATTTAGTTATCTTCAGGAAATATTGTTATACAGGCTCACGAACATATTTGAATATTCTTTTTTATATTTCTTATTTCTTTAATAAAATTTATTATTAATGAATATTTTTTTATTTTTAATGAAATTTTGCCATTATAGATTATATTTTATATATTCTCTTATCAAAATATCGCTTTAAGAATCAAAGATTTTTCCATCTTTTTGAATATAACGATACAAAATATATTTGTTTATATATTTTAAAATATATTTTATTATTTTTAAATTACAAAAATTTTCAAAAGTTTAATGCAAGATATGAAAAGAATTGTTGAAACTTGATTTCACTTTCGCAAAAATAAAAAAATATTCCATGTATTCCATACATTCTATTACATACATTCTATTACAAATTTTCATTAAAACCAAAGTTTTATGAAATTAGGTGAATTTCTTGTAAAATATTGTATAAATATTCGTAAGATAATATACGAATCATCTATATGTGTATTTATATCTTATATACATTGATATATATGTCTAAACCATTCGACTTTCTATCGTTTAAATTTTCTCGCGTTTGTTTCGCGATTAACCGCGTCGGCGTATAGTTATATGGTACTTGCGCAATATTCTCAAGTATCAATCCATGTTGTCTATGCGGATCTTTTATTCTCCTCTAAAGACACGTTTTCCGAAAAATTTAATCAACTCTTACTTAAAAGCAGCAAAAAAATCTTTAGAAATTTTCCTAATTTTGTTTTTCAATTTCTTTTTTAATCTTCCAACTATATATCTTGTAACTTTTATTGGTGGAAAATTAAGCGATAAAAATTAATCCTGGAAGAAAAGTAAAAATTTAAATTGATAAAATCATCTCTGATTGAATTGAAGATACGATTAAATTGCGTAGAAATTGAGATACAAATCAGGTAATTTTTTTAAAGTGGGTTTGTGTATTCTCGTTTCATATCACTATTGTATATCATCCGGTGATGTAATAATAGCGCATAACGATTTATAATTTAATCTCATATTCCTTATAGTATCCTTTGAGTCAAAGTGTATAAAAATATGATCACATGGATAAAAAACATGTCAATTCCTGTAATAAAAATAAGCGGGTAATAAAACAAATATGTTCTATTTTAATCATCTTATTGAAATCAATTGTTATTGAAATTTTAATTGAAATATCCTTGACATTTTTTTTTACATTTCAAGAAATATTGCAATATTTGAAGCTCCATTTTTTAAACGAAATATTTTTACTTTTTAAGTGAAGATAACAAATTTATAAGAATTTTATAGAGATATAGAAATATTTGAAGTTCCAGGCTTCCTGTAACTTTACTCGATAAGTTAGAAACCACTATATATTTTTTAAAAATCTATAATCAAATCTATCTTATATTCTTGTTATCAAAAATGTCACAGAGAAATTTCATAAAAAATGTTCACATACACTTATTAAAATCTAATTTATTTTTCTTATCAAAATCATGTCACAAAAAAAATGATACATTTTCACGTATATATATTTCAAATAAAAACGAAATTATAAATTGATATATATATTGTATGATACATGTAAAACTTGTACCTGTATAATCAATTTTGCATTTACAATCATGTAACTGATACAGTGTTTCCAACGATTGTAACCCAGTCTGCACGTAATTTAAGATTCCAAGCTAGCAGCAAAACGATTCCTCTCCAACCACTCGACTTCTCGAAATCTCGAAACCTTGGAGCAGAAACATTTCACTTTTACTTTGAAATAAGCGCCCGCGGCAATTGCCCAGAGGAGGCAGCCATTTTTTTTTTTTTCAAATATTTGCTTATGACTACAAACGAGATCTCTTGCATCCCATAATCGTTTCGTTGACATTATTCATTACTTTCTTTCCTGGTATTCAATCCATCTCGCTATTCTTCGACGTAATTAATCGAATATTCACAGTAAATATGGATTTTTATGCAAATAAATATTTTACATAAAACAACATAAAATGAGTATATTACATATTTTTCTTTTGATATTAATTTCATTTGGATTTTATTATATGATTTAATATATATAAAACAAATTTAACGATAAAATAAATATAATAAAACTTTAAATAAAACTGGTTTCTGATTTTACGATGTAATATCAAAATTTAGAATGATTGTGAATAATTTATTTGTAGAAGGATAATATATTGCATAATATATTTAGAGATCTTTTCCCAATTCAATTTTTTAAGATAAATAATAACAATTTAACGAAACTTGTTTTAATTGCATAAAAATCTGCACTCTAGTATTTATATTTCATATAAGTTACATTAGAATCGTTGAAATCCACTCTTTTTTAATTGATTCGTCCAAAAAACATGAAACATGCAAAAAATCAAAATCCAAAAGACATAATATAACCTTTTAATTCATATATCTGAATTAATTAATGATCCCATACGAATTTGTAAAATATTTTTTACACACATATAATTTATATAAATATCTTTGATAAAAAAAATTAATTAAAAAATAATATCCGTTTAATAAATAAACAAATGAATAAATAAACGCATCTTCTACATTGAAAAAAGAACCTTTTCTTTCACGAATGATGGACCAGATATAATTCAGGCGAACCATTCTTTCACGTCACCCAAATGTCCCTAGATTCGATACAAGCGCCGATTCGCTCTCGAGATTAGCGGCTATTGGCCGCAAGATTATGCAAACCTAGCCAGGTTCCGTGAAGAGAAAATGCGTAATTAATCAACGAATGTGCTATTCGGGGCAACGCGAACGTTTTACGACCTTAGTTATACAAAGGCTTGTCACTTTCTCGCGATGTTTTTCATAACAAAATGCAAATACGCCTGCACACTGTCCCTTTCCTCGGGACAATATTACGTTAATATTACTATTATTAATTATTCGTATACATACCAATTGCGAAGTCAACCAAAAGATGAATAAAGAAAATTTTTTCAACCAGACAGATGTTCGGATTGTATCGACTATTAGTTGCTTAAACGTAAGGTTATTCATAAACACGATGAAACGTATGAAAAATGGACAAAGATTTTAATGAATAGACTGCGAATATATTTGTTAAAGATTTGAATGAATAAAAATTTACAGAATATATTTAGATTTTAGATTTATATTTAGATTTTTTTTCTTAACAAATTTCCAGCTGACTATAACACCTATAAATTATAAATTACATTTAATGTATCGATGCACATTCACTCGAATTTTTCAATGAATTTTTTAAACTTATTTTACACAGAATATTTCACAATACAAACTTGAATTTTGATTTTCTTTATGCTTATTATTCGTATTTTGTATTATCCCTAATTCTTATCTAATAAAAGAATTAAATAATTAATACTGCAAAAATTTGCAAACTTAATATATTCGAAAATCTCAAACAAAAGAATCCTATTCTTTCTTTTTGATACATTGTAAAATCATCGTATGTAAATCATCTTTCATTCTTGTCCACGATTCACAAGATACTATACTTGTATAGAAAACGAACAATAGACTTCTCGTCAACAATATTCTATGGTTATCGTAAAATTTTTGATGCTGAAAAATTTTGTGGAGATTTTCAGCTACACGAAGAGACATTCGTAACCGCTACATTGTTCGCAAGTCGACTGTATTTTATATTTCTTTTTCTTTCTTTCAATAACAAAACATTTTTCAATTTAAAAAACTATCATATTCTTTTTAGTTTTGATATTATTAAATTAGTAATTATTATTATTAAATTAGTAAAAATATTTAATTTTAATTTTTTAATTTTAAATAAATTTCAAATGCATTAATCATGCACTTATATTTATATATAGACTCTAAATGAAAAGTTGCGTTAAGCTACTTAATGCGATTTGCGTGATGCTTTTACAACTGTGTACAACGCATCTTCAGTCATAATGAGCTAAATGCTTTGACCGGTATTCGCAACTCGTGAACGCGTGACAACTTTAAGTTTCCTAACAGATTTGGTTAACCTATCTTTTTGATTCAGCCTCTTTTTCGCAATTATGTTCTTTTGGATTATTTTTAATTCAATCGTGTTTTTTATATCGAAATATTTTTTTATATGAAGAAAATATGAAAAAATTATTATTAATATTATTTGATTCCTCGTCTCAATTTTACACAAAATCTTTTTAAAGATATAAAAAAATTTTTTGTGAATAGAAAACAAAAGGAAATTTAAATGTAAAGTTTCTAAAAATACAATAAAATTGTCTAATTGATATTAAACAAATTTTAAATAAACTTAATTTAAATAAATTAATATTGTATCCACAATTGATGCAAAAAACTCCAATTATTTCAGTTACAAAGGAAATGAATATTGTTTTTCAGTTTTATCAAAAAATATTTAATTAATCGTTATATGAATAATGTATTTATCGTCACTATATATGTTTTAAAAAGTTATCCAAAATATTTCAAAATATTAAATAAGATAATTAGACTAAAAATTATCATTGATTTCGTGACTTTCGTGTTCGAATCTAAACGCATGAGACGCAAGAAAGGTAGAAAGTTACTAGTTTTAGTGAATACATAAAACAGTCGTTAAACAAAAACTACTGAAAAATAACGAGAAAGATTTCCGGAAAAGAGAGAAAAGGTTATTGAAATTTGTGAATATTTCTGCAGTAAAAGTTATTTCGAAGTAATTGTAATTACGTGATTCTAGCTACTACGTGATATTAACTTTGAACTAGATTCCTGCAACTCAACTTTTAAACAAGTACATAGTAATTTCACTACCAATTAGCTATGTTTTACTCACAATCGTTTTTCGTAATCTTGTTAAATGATTTTTACTTTAGTCACAATAAACTTTACTAAAAGATTTTATCGAGATATTTTGATATAATTGATATAACTATAAAACTAAATCATTACAATTGGAAAACAAAAACTATTGAAATATAAATATGAAATCTTAATTGAAAAAATTGGTTTAATATTTTCCGCGAAGGTGGCACTGGTGTTCAATGTTTCAATGTTTCAATGAAATATATGGTAATTTCAAGAAGATCAATAAGGTAGATATCTTTTTTACCAATCTCATGCAAACCGCCATATTTAATATTTCTATAGTAAACTATTTTAAACTTTGCTTTTTTATCAAATTCCTTTAATTCTTTCCTTATCAATAACTCCTAATATTTTTTATTTCATGAAGCATGATATGTTATACATATTATATCTTTGAAATTTATTTATCAATAAATAATATCTATTATCGAATATTACTCCAGAATTATTACTATAGAATTCTGTCTTTATGTGAAATTGCAATTGTCTTGATATAATGCGATTAAATAATACAAAAAGTTATTATCAAATATCTTCTGAAATTGAAGAAAATTCAATCAAAAAAATAATAATAGAATATATCTAACACTGATTAGATTATAGTTTTACTATCTTTTATTTTAACCAACAATTTTATCTTCTTATTATTTTAAAATAAAATATATATTATTTTCTATTATTCTTCTACATTGAAAATAATATTACTATTTATGTAATTCTAACTTTTTATACTCTTGATTTCATATTTGTATAATATGAAATGTGTCTCTTAGATTACAAATTCTATTATAATATAATATAATTAAAAATATAAATTATATTTTTCATGCAAAATAAATAAAAGATTATTATATTTGCAAAATTGCTTGACTGCACGAAGAATTATGGAACTAATTAGATGAGCTTCTATTACACGAACAAGTTATCCGAACTCGGCAAAATCATACAAATATATTTTTATGGTATTCTAATTATTTATCGTAACTGATCTTTTGTTACTAAATTTTGATTTCACTTAATTTTAACAACAACAGAAATACGAATAATAACAGTAATAACAAAAATGATAAAACGGAAAAAAAGAAGGGAAAAAAATCAGAAGAATTAGCAAAGTTTAAGTTGTAAAATTAACTAAAAGATCATAACCTGGAACTTAAAATCAGTAAATCGCATCGCTTTTGCTAGTTATTTTACGATCAACTACGTGCAGTTGCATCCTGTAATGTAATAGATTTAATATCCTATCATTTTCTCATTAATTCGGCTAATATGATTACCTCGTCGTTACGCGTCAAATATATTATCTTTGCGTTTCAAAATACGCACTGTAATTCAATTTTTTATGCAAAAATCGAATATCTTCATAGTTCCGTCTTTTTAACGTTTACCGAATGAAACGATTAAATTTATATTGATTCCAAGTTAAAATCCAAGTCACGAGGAATAACAATTCTTATGCTCGAGGCTGAGTTTAAAAAAAGATACGAACTAAGAATCTATCACTTTCTTTTGACTAAGTTTCAAAATAGAAATGGAAAGTATACTTCTAAGAAATTATAAAAACTTAAAAACTTGCATAATTCTGTGAAACAATCATTTTTCTTTTTTTTTTAATTTTGTAACTAAAAACTATCACTTTTATTCAAATAAGTTTCAAATTGCAAAGACATATTTCTAAGGATACAACTAAAAGTTTGCATTCTTTTTCTGAAATCATGATCATTTTTTTTAATTTGCATCATGAAGTTACTTTTATCGCTATTTTTCCCTAGAATAAACTAGGAAAACAATTATTTTGTAAAGAATTAAGCTCTATAATTTAAGAATTACCACTTTTAAATGCATTCCAAATGTAAATGGAAATAGCAATTAGATTTTCTAAGAAACTATATTTGAAAATTTACATTCTTTCATTGATGTGAAATATAATTTTTACATCATTTTATTTTTTTACATCAAAAAATACACTGAGATCACTGTAACAACATTATTTTTCCTTACATTAAATTCTAGAAAAACAATTATTATATAAAGGTAATAACAATAAGATTTATCATTTTTCTTCAGTAACTTTTGTAAATAAGAAATGAAAAGTAGACATTTGTAAGAAATTAGTAAGTCATCTTTTAATCTCTTACGAACTAATGAAATTAACTAAATTTTTTCCTAAAAGAAATTAGAAAAACAATTATCCAATGCAAAGATTCAAATTCAATTGACAAATATCATTCACAAAAAAATCATTTATGAATGAAATCGCAATTAAACATTTGTTTTGTGTATTATCAGATAAAACAAAAGAATCAATAAAATCTCGCGATTATATAACGATTTCAATAAATCTTAAAAGTTTTGAGATTTTAAAATCTTATGAGCATATCTTAGCTAGCTATCTTAGAAAGCTATAATAAAAATAACACAATTACAACGATGATTTTTACATATAAACGAAAATCATTTTAACGAAATCTTTGAAACGATTATTCAAAAAAAATAAGATATTCGACTTTTCAAAATTCATATTGAATCCTTGAATTAAAAATTTTCTAGAAGTATAACTTTTAATAATTCCTCTCTAATAACATAATCATTGCATTGAGAATAAAAATTATCTTCGGACAAAATGAATTTTCACCGACGATCAACGATTATCCAAAAACCCTGATTTATCAGAATTAAAATAAAAAGAAACCAAAAAAAAAAAACAGATGATTAACAAGAATCATTCCCACGAAACGAACATACGTCGTTGAACAATCTCGTGGTCTCGCAAACGCTTGCGAAATAATCGTAAATAATTCGTTTCGATTTAATTTAACGGAATGAGAATGAAAACATTTTTTCCAATTCTACTAACAATCTCTATCCTCTTTAATTGTTCGTTTCGCGATACACGCACGCTCGTAAAAAAAAAAGCGAGTAATCGGCCGACAATTGTTATTCTATGATTCTTATAAAATGATTCTTTATAAAAGTCCACGCGCAACGAACGAACTGCTCGACTTGGACGAATCGCGCAATCGTCGGACCGCATTGTCGTCCCCCTTTCGCAAATCGATTCGAGGAAACCGGGGCTGAAAAAAAAAATGGATTCGAGAGTTAATCGGTTATTCACGTGGATGAGGAAAAAAGGGGAAGGGAGATGATTCGTGTCACATTTCAATTATCGAAGCGAATTATATTATCCGTGAGATCCGTTATATATATATATGGGATATTTATATATATTTTATACGCAACGTAACATCGTGTTTCGTTGCGAACGCGTACATCTGGCCCCCTGGTTGCTCCTGTTGACGGTACAATTACGGCGGACCACGGTGATGGCATGCTCTTTCCACAAGGCGGCCAGGAAAGGGGGTACAATACCTATATAAAGCTTGAATGAAGATGCTCCCAGCTATTCACTCTCACCTTTCTCACAAGCCTTGCACACGAAGCAAATCTTCCGGAGGAATCGCGAGGGAAGATCGGCAACGTGTTCGTCTCCCGTCAAAAGGATTTCGCTCCGAGGTGAGTGTCTCAACCTTGTTCGCGTACCACGCGTTTCCTTTTAAAGAAAACCTTTAAGTTTCATCTTTTCTCGCGTGTTGTATCTCGATTATCAATTAAAACGAAAATTGATCTATCTTAACGAATTTTCGAAAGACGAGTCTTTTGGAAAATTATCTTTGTAATTTTCATTTCTTGAATCCTATTTCGTTTGTATCTTGCAATTAAGAAAAAGTGAGACGAGTGAGTTTCGTTTAAATATTGTCACGATATGATTCGCGTTTCTTCTTGGAAATCTTTTTTTTTTTTTAATCTTCGTTTGTATGTTGTAAAGTAATTCGTGTCGTTTATCGAAACAATTTCATTTTCAGGGTATTTTAACATTTTGATATCGTTCGTTATATCGTGCGTTTCTTTGAATTTAATCTAATCTTGTTTGTATTGTAATTGGTTTAAAGGATTTCTTGAACGTATCAATCTTGTTTGAACCATATGTTTCTTCTACGAGATCTTTTTTAAATTTAATCTACTCTCGTTTAAAAAAAGATGAGAGTCTTTAAATTATTCGAGTTCTATCATGTTTCTATTTAAAAAATTTCGTTCACGAATTTCCTCTTGGAATCTTTCCTTCTCGAAAAAAAAATTGATTTATTCTTATTCGTATTAAATCTCGATAATTGATAAAAATCGTATTCCTATTTAAAGAATTTCGCTTCAAATTGATTATCTCAACTTTGTTCCACGCAAAAAAATCTTTTTTCTTCCAAAATTTGATTCTATTCTTTATTTCATTCTTGCGTCAATAAAAATTGTGCTCGTGTTCAAAGAAAGAAAGAGAGTGATCTACGTATTTCCTCTTGCGAATTTTTTTTTTTTTTTATTAAAATATTTTTCTCAAAAAAAATTTTCATTCATCGATTCTATCATCCTCCAATAAATAAGTTGTAAAGAGAAAGCAACAAAATACGTTGACAAATACGTACGCGAATTTACAAATTCACTAATTATAAGATAAAGATCGATTATTTGTTGCGGTAATAAAACATGAACAAGTTTTTTTTTTTTTTTTTTATGAGCATTCAGTGAATCTAACTTCACACGATGGAAAACGCATTAAAGTTGGAGGAATACGAATTCATTATGCCACGGAGAAGAAAGCGACGTTCCGTGTGCAGAATGATCGATCGTGACTGGAGCCTGATTCGTGCATTACCTGTAGAAATTCTTTACGACAAAAGATTCAGAATCTTCGAATGACTCCTTTCTTTTAATAATTACTCGTTTGTATTGAATATCATTACACGGTAAACGCCTTCTTAACAGATCCTAAATGTCTGATTGGATAATTGGATAATATCGTTTTTTAAGTTGTAAATAAAAGTGTATATACATGGATATAATATTAGTACATCGACACAATATAATGTATATATATATATCAATACTACACTTTGTTTCTATTATTTTATTTCTATGAAGATCATTGATTGATAAACAAAGTCGTATAAGAGAAAATTTGTAAATTTGTATTAACATTGATAAATTCAAATTTCGCGCCATAGAACTTTAATCGGAAAGTTATCATGAAATCAGAAATTTGAAGAATTCGAAATCGAAATCGGTAAAATTCAACAGACAATTCGAATGACAAATCAGTGTTCGCGATGAATCGAAAATGGGAGAAAGTGATCGATCGTTTAATCTTATTTTCGAGGAATTATCGCGATCGATTCGAAAGATTTATCATGCTGTGCGATGAATAAAATAACTCGAATAACTCGCAATAAAAGTGAAACTCGATGGACGATTTGTTTTGATTTTCGGAGTCTGATATGCAAATTATATTCGTCAATAGACAACTAGGCGTAATGTTTGTAAAATGAAAGAAGGCGAGATCGATTGTGACGATCGGTTAAATGATTGGACAAAGATGAGTAAGCGTGAGAATACGAGCGCGAGAGTGAGAATACAAGCGAGAGTAAGAGTGGGAGCGAAAGTATAGGATAGGAGAGACAAAACGAAGCCGGCTCATTTTGGTCACCGTATCCAGAAGAAAGCGTACGATGTGCATACATTTAATACGTGTGTGTATATACGGCGTTTCTATGCTAATCGTTAGTTCAGTGTACTCAGAATTAACTAAAAATTATTGCTGAAGATGATTTTCTAAGACTTATTCTTTTAGAATAAAACTTTTGACATTTTAACGTGTCTTTTGACACGTTAAAATATCTAATGAATGCTTACGAAATATTAAAATTTTAAAAAGGTTTACACAAATTTTATCACAAATTTTAACAGTAATTGTGTTATATCGTGGAAATTTTTAACTCTACCTTTTTTAGTTATAATGTCTCATTTAATATTGAAATATACCAAAAAATATAATTATAATTATTGAAATATACCAGAAAAATTAAAATTTGTATTATTATTTAAAAATAAAAAGATGCTGGAATAGAATATTTTAATATTATTTGAAAATCTTGTTGAAGTTCTGTTTGCTCGCACCGAATTCAAATTTAAAGAAAACCGCGCTTCGATCGCGATGATTCGGCGTAAAGAGCATGCGCATGCGCATGCGCATCACACTCGTGCTGTTGCACGCATACCTTGACTGTTATTCGTATTCCGCGACCTCTGACATCCTCCGCTAAGAGCAATAGATTGAAGAAATATTTGTTTGCACCGTTCGTTGTCTAATAAAATTACATAATTTCGTTGATGCCGCAATCTTCGTTTAAACTTCGTTATTCCTTGCCCGCAGCAAAAATCCTTTAAAATGTCTCGTCCATAGAGAAAGTCATATATTATCGAGAACGATGAAAGGGAAAGTTTTTCCAAAAAATGAAACGAGAAATGATTCGAAAAGGGGGGAAAGAGTAATCTTTCGAAATATCATCGTAATTGGGCGTGTAATTTTATTTAATCACGACGAAACAAGGGAAACGTCTTCTAATATCGTTGCCGAATGCTTTTGGCGAATCGAATCTTCTCTGCTTTCTCCATTGCGAAGGTCGCAAGGAGGCCGATTTCTCGCTTCTTTTTAGTAAAAATCAATCTTGCTTACCGTATCCATCGATCGTAAAAGCTTAATTAATTATTCTCAATTGCCTTTTCTAACAATTTCCCTCACTCTTCGAATTCTTCCATATCGTATTTTCGACTAACTAGTTTTTAAGAATCAGCCAATCAGTATTACACTCTTAGATTCAGTTTCGTAATAAATTCATTTATAAAAATGTATCTAATTGGTTGGCAATACCTCGACGATTCAACTATTTGACCAATAGGACACTGCCGAACGTGGGAGCAGAGTTCCCTCTGAATGTTGCAGACAATCTTCGAATTACGACACTCGATTAGATTAGAGAATGTTGTTGCAATTTATCGAGAAAATAATCGATCGAGAAACAGGTCCTATTCTCTTCTAAAAAAATGCTTAAAATATTTTTTGAAAAAATAAAGTTTTAAAGTAAGTTTTTTGTTTATTCTTTACAAATATTACAAAAAAATCAAAAGAATATTTATAATCTTATCTTATGTGCAATTTTTTTAATCAATATTAATTATTTCATTATTCTTTTATAGGTTATGTCTATTTGTGAGTAACCATTATCGAAATTTATTTGATGAATCTCTTTTTACAACAATTTTCTGTTAACATTTCGAATTATGCTATTTGTATTGTACTTTTCTAGTTCATATCAAAGAACTTTGTCCGGAAATAAAGTATTATTATTATTGACTAGTGACAGATCATTATCACTCTATAAACAACTTTTAGATTTGTTATATTAAAATTAAATTAAAAGTCGAATAACTCGATTCAAATGAATCATTAAAACTTTCCATTATCATTATACAATGATAGATATATAAATCATTATCACTGCAAATACATTTTCCATACATTTTCCATACATTTATGGAAAATTTGAATCTACAAAAAGTAAAGTATATATTATGATATTTGAATAATAAAGCAGATTTATTTTGTTGTAAAAAAATCTAATCATTATTAACCAATGAATAATTATAATTTATTTTATTACTTATCTTATTTTTAATGTATCTTATAATTTATATTATATTAATAAAATTAGATCGATTACAAATTGTTCCACGATATTAATTTTTGAGGGAAAAGGTCGACCATCTCCGCCTACAATTGACATTGCGAAGTAGAAACCACGAGGAACGATTTGTGTCCGCGCGCAGGCACACAATCGCACCACTACGTTTCACGAGACGCGTAAGGCAATCGATGTCCTCGTAACCCAGACCTATAGGACGTAACTGCTAGTTTTCACTAGAAGATCTCTCGCAACCATCTATGAACGATCTTCTCATTTCTTCTTTCATCTTTCCTCGTTAGCACGATTCACGTGTGAGCGCGACAGGATGAAATTTTCATTCCTGATAACTTTTAGAAAACATGTTATAGAAATAGATATCTAATTGTCAAAACTTCTAACTTGCTTTCACTCTTTCTAATTGTATCTTTTTGTTTTATTAAAGGTTTGTACGAGTTTTTTTTTTTAAAAATGAATGCTATGTTGAGAATGATTATTCATGACAATAAACTTTTAATCCTTAAAAATTCTTGAAAATAATTCTATGAAAGTTCTACTCTCAAATAGATTTGCAGCTTTGGAATACGAAAATTATTTCTCATTAACAAAAATAGGTAAAAATTTTCAAAGAGTTTCACTTTCAATGCAATATCCACGTGATGAATTATTGTCAAGAAAACAAACTCTAAAGTTTACATTGTATAAAAGAGTTTACATTGGATAAAAGAGAGATAGAATGAGACAATGCTTCGTCAAACACGAATTTAAATTAGTCAATACATAAATAAATAATTAATTCGATACATAAATCTCAAACGACATATTTGTAACAATTTTTATTTTAATTTTCTTTAGAATTGATTTTTCAAAGATTCTCACGAATAAATTATAAAAAAACAAGATTATGTGAACCATACAAAAGCAAAATTACGACTGATGTTTGTTTTCTTTAAATGCAAAAAACGAAACAATTCAAACGTTTCTTTTTCAAAGAAAAGTAAATGCAAAGTTAACAAGTCTTTGAATATGATTTTATAACCACGAAAAAATATGCAAAAAATATGAGACAGACTTGCCTTGACATAATCGAATTTCATCTTACAAATCAACACAGTTAAGAAATATTACATCGTGTAATAAGTCACTATTATTATTAACGTGTTGCTTATTACGAAATTCAAATAATGAACAAATATTCTTATTATTAAGATGCCGCATCTAGTCGAAAAATCAAGGCGCAGAAACGTTAAACTAAAACCGCAGCATCTCAAGTGCACGTTACACTTGCTCAATCCTTCCCGCAAACGACTACTTTAGCTAGCCAAACGATTTAAATTTCGCGAATTTTCTGCGACAATTATGTTAAGTCTCGCGACATTAACCTGTCTCCATTTCGAATCAGAGAATTAGAGAAAAATTAAATATTATCTCTATTTTTTTTACACATCTATCACTGTGTTTTATTCCTATTCTTTCCTATTCCTAATCTCGTGGTGGAAATATTCAGTATTCAAAAAAAATATCATTGTAATTAGAATTAGGATCAATGTCAATATTGAGTCTATTGATAATAGTACAAATTAGAGAGATCGATATCTTTTTGATATAATATATATATATATATTTATTAATATATATATTTAGTTAAAACAAAACTAAATAGATTTTTATTGAGAAACTCTATTGTATTCTTCAGTTACTTCTATTTATATTATATATTATACATTACATTATACTATTATATTATATGTTATATTATTACAAATTAAATGAATTAATTATTAATTTATCGATTGTAAATGTTTTATAAGGAAAATTAAATTAATATAAATATAATATAAATAAAATTAAAACAATATACAGTCAATCACAAAAATCTTCATACATTATCTTGTAAAGAAATCTAATTTGAAGAAATAATGTTGATTTTAACAAAAATTTGTGTATATGTAAAGAACAATCGATTATACATGGAGTAATTAATTTTTCAACAGAAAATATTTTTAAATACGTGAAATCAACTCTCTAAAATTTCTATCATTTACTCATTTTTTAATACAATTTCATTTGAGAATATTTTTCACAATATTATAATAAAACATTAAAACTTGAACATTTTATAATAAAAAATTTTATTCTATTTTATCATTATAAAGTTAAAAGAATATATTTAAGAGAATCATAAAACTAATAACTTTAAAGATTTCATTTAAGCAAATATAAATTTGCATATGCTAATAAAAAGATTGTTTCATATACAAATATATTCATGAAATTAAATTTATTTAATTTAAGGATCGATTGTAAAAATAAAAACAAAAATTAGTATAGAGAAACTCTGTTTAAATTTATTTATAAAGTTATAAGCCTTAATTGAGATTCTTGTATATAATTTTTGTATTTGTTTTATTTATAATCGATTCTTCAAAATATTTTACGAATATATTAATATTCTACATAATTCATTATGTTCCATAACATAATTCATTATGTTATTTATGATCAATCAGATATTATCGGTTTTTAATCAGAGCAATTTAAATATTTTGAAAGGCAACTAAAAATACTTAAAGTTAAACACTATTTCTCTTTAGCTACAATATTTATCATTTTGAAAATTATAAGTCTGAAAAAACTTATAATTTTTTTTGCATGATCATTGTTAGGAAAAATAAATTAGATCTGATTCTAGATTAAATATTATCATATTAAAAGAAATACAAAAAACTTCAAAATATGATTAAGAACATTATCAAAAAATATATACTCTATATATTCATTCATGTTTCATATGTATAAAACAGAATTATTATTATTTTTGATAATATAACTATTTTTTACGATCAATTTAACAAATTTGAAACGTATGAAGATTTTCTTGAATGATCAATACTTTTTTCCCACAATATAATTTCCACGAGGTCAGGATATGCCCGTAAACATTAAATGAGTCCTCGTCAATTTTCAATCTTTCACGATCGTAAGGAATTAAGTTTACGCGTTAAAAGAGAAAGGCCGATAAAATATCCCATTAACCCGATAATAAGTGTGACATAAAAGAAGTCTCAGGGAAGCCACTCATAAATCTCCGAAATATTCTTCCGGGAAAGACACAGGAAATAAACTCTGCCCATCTGTATCTGACAATGAGATCCATTAATCGAATTCTCAATTAATATATCGGCAGAAACTTTCTCTAGAGTTCTTCATTTTCTTCTTTTTCTTTTTTTCTTTTTATCCTGATATCAATCACTGTTAATGAAAACAATAATTACTTTGATAAACATATACTTTGATAAAAATATACAATTGAATAGTTTCCAAAAAAAATGTTAAATAATTGATAATAATGAGCAACATCGAGATAGAACTATTAATTAACTAATCAAATTTTGTATGGAATATGTAGAAAATTTGAAGTTTTCTTTGTGTCTATTGTACTCACTTATGATGATGAATCAGCCAGAAAATCACGCTCTATTTTAATTTAATCGCAGTCTTATTTGTGCAATGCACTTCATTAATTTCTAATTCATTAAATTCATATTTGCAAACTGGAACATTCCCAGGCATTTGATTATTATAAATATATTATATTTCTCTTCCATTTTTTTCTTTTTAATATTTCGTCTTGTATGATATGGTTTTATGTGATTATACAACAAATCAATAAATTGTATCATATATGATCAAATTTAAAATCATCTCTAAAATCGTTCTTTCTCAATTTGTCTTCAATTTATATATTTTGTTGCCAATGATATTTAATAATATATGATCCATGATTTTCTCGATAATCGATTCTCGAAAGTTGCATAATTTCATTATTATGCATAAAAATTTGTATCTCTGTTTAATGAGTTATTAAAGCTATCTTAATGTTCAATTTCTTTCACATGAATTATATTTTAATATTACATAATGACAAATATAATTATATTTTAATTTATATATCACTACTTTAATATTTTAAATATGCAAATAATTTGGGCAGAATAATTGCAAATCTTATTCTAAACTCTAGTTTTAAAGCCCAGCTGTTATCAATTGTTCAAATTTTAATAAATATTTTATATAATCTTTTAAGAATAACTAGCTTTTTTAAATTACTTCATACAGATCTAAGCAAATGAAATTGTAATTAATAGATTATATGTATAGTGTAAATAATTTCATGAAAAACTTAGATACTTTTCAACTGATTGCATATAATTGCAGAAAATACATCTTATAATTAATGTAATAAAACGTTATAACTTCATACGTCAATCTGATTTAATTTAAAAATAAAAATGATATTTCAATATAATTTTCTTATTCATACAGTTTTAACTTCAATATAATTTTCTTATTCATGCAATTTTAAGAAAATATATTATATAAACAATTTACATCTAGATAGGATGAAATTTATCTTTGTCTCGCTTTATCTAAATAACAATCTAACAAATTGCTTATAACTTAATAAGTTACGAACTGATTAATCAATTTTCGTATCTTCTTATTCATTTTTGCCTTTAGAATTCTAAGATATCTCAAAAGCTATCCCACGAATACATTAATAAGAATCTTTTCAAACTTTTCTTTCTTCTACTGAAACTTTTATGAATATAACAATCTGCAATTCACAATATCACACTGTGTAATCAGCATTTTTATTCAGAATATTGATTGAATTTATTTCCTAAAAAATAGAAAAACGAAAAAATGTTCATTTATGATCGTTTATGTTACATTGATACCAAAAGATATCTTACATCCGTAAACAAATAAATAGATAATAAATCCAAATTGGGAATAGAAAAATCTTGAAAATTGTTTCCATTAATCGAAAGAGAGGGAAAAGAAATAGCAATCTTGGTGTGCAAAAGCATTAATCGACTTTCACCTTTCACCTCGATGAAGCACGATTCGCCTGTTGACTTCTCGAACTCTTTGCCCGACAGAGGGACGAAGATCGTTGCCATGTGGATATTTCTACGAGAAGAATCGCTAGGTCAGAACGCTATCAGCGCCATGAGCACATCACGATTCGGTTTCACCGTCGACCAGCCATCGGTAAATCGCGATACCGATGGTGGAAAGCATCCAAGGATCTAGCCAAGTATTCGTAATTTTATCTTCGTTGAAAGCAACAGTGCTACGAGTTTCCCTTTGTTGCAACTTCCTTCTTCTCGGTGTCCTTAACATCATACTTTTTACCCTTTCAAGTCACGAATTGTATCGATTTTTCTTCTTTTCTTTTTTTTTGAAATTTCATATTCTTAATCTGTTTAGGAATATGCATATGTGTACGTTTAGTTTTTTTTCTTAATTAAAATTATTAAAAAAATTAAAATCTGTTAAAAAACATAGAATCTTTTAATAGTAAAACTAGAAGCAACTGATAATATTTTATTTTCTTTATTTGATAATCATTGCTTTGAAAGTATTGTGCCTTTGATGTTTTATAATAAAATATATTTCTGAAGAAATTAAATTGTTGTATTGTATATGATTTGTATATACAATTTGGTTTATTTCTTTTATTTTCTTTTGATGTTAAAACATTCAATTTTTCTAGTAGTTTTTCAAGAATGTGTTTCTTTAAGTATCCTGGGTTATTCCACAAAATTGATTACCTAATAATAAAAAATTATTAAATTATAAATTAATTATATCATGGATATTATATTATTGTTTTATACTTATAGAATAAGTAATTTGATGATTGTATAAAAATATAGTTTTTTGAAATAAAAATATCACCTTTATTTTACAGAGAATGTAATAGTAAAAATTTCAAAGAAATAGAACTCCGACATTGAGATACTTTGTTAAAATGAAATTTGTCAAGCTATTTCTCTGTAAATCTTAAAATTTCCATTTCTTTAACGTTATTAAAACATCCTCCTTATCTATTAAATAATCTAAAAAACAGAAAAATGAACTTATTAAATTCTTCTGTAGTTTTATAAATTATTATTCTATCAAAATAAAAATAAAAATACAATAAATTAACATTACATAACTTAAAAAAATAAATCCACTTATCTAACTCACAAATAGTAAGAGAAATCGGTGAACTTCAATTACACGCATAAACAATTTGATTACATCATATGACTTGACAAATGACTTGGTTACACAGTTGCTTGTTTTTTAATATTTATATACATATTAAATATATTGTCAATTAGAAATACCCAAAACTCATATCCTTGTAATAGAAACAACATTTTCTCAATATCAGAAAATGTTTCTTATAAATACATAAATATAAATAGGGTGTTATAAAAATATGGGATATTTTTAAAGTAATAATCATAGAATATAAATATTTCTATATTCTTTTTATAGAAATTCATATGGATTAACTATAAGAACACAGCTTCTTCATTTATTTTATAAACAGAAAATTATAATTATAACATGAGCTGCTAATAAGAATTTAAAAGTATTGCTATTTAGTTAATATATTTATGGAAACATAAAAGTTGATGTACAAAAATATCGGTTGAAGGCTAATTATTGAATTAATTTTTATAATATTATTATTATTTTTACTGTCCAATAAATACCAATAAAAACTTCAACCATATTTATATTCCAATTTTCGTGTTTATTTCGATTTCTAAAATCGTCCCTTTAAAAGTATCCCATTGAAATAAATTAACACCCTGTACAAATGAAGTTCTTCTGTATTACAAGTATTACGAAAATAACAGACCAAAGTTAAATATACATCTCTTCTTTCCAATGGCAAACAATCGTCACGCGAATGCAAAGACATTTCGTGCACAGTTAAAGATTGACGGTTCATACTACTCCTACGCAAATAATTTGCAACCGAACAAACATGCTTACTTTCTCCCTCGCGTTGGATCCTCAATCAAGCAACAAACGAAGGAGAAAAACAAGGGAAGGGAAAAAAAAACAAACCTTCCAACTTTTTACTACATACTAAACTTACTTGGTACAATGTTATATTGTACGTATCTAGATAAATACGTGAAAGCTTAAGAAAGAGAGAGCCAGGTCAAAAAATTGAAGGATCGCCAGGAGGTATCGTTGCATCATTTTTATGATTCCCCGTGAAACGGAAAGTCTTCTCTTCGCCAAAAGATGTTAATTATCGCGAATCGACTTGTGCATCGCCTCTTTTCGACCGCAGTCTCCGAATTACCGAGATAAGAGGACAAGAGGATTACGGATCTTCTCGTAATCTCAATGTGACGAAACGTTCTAACACTGACGTACGTGAGAAGAAACGAGACAATCATGGAAACGGCCTTTCTCGGGACCAGAAAATTATGTATTTAGCGATTGTATTTCTTCGAGATACTCTCGTTAAGATTTCTGTTGAAATTATGACGAAACGAAAGAGATGAGACGATTCTATACTTCATTTAGTTTCCGCAATATTTATAAATTTTGATTTTCGATTATTCACCTCGGCTGGAATTCAAGCTCTAATTAAATAAAGTAATCGATTTCCATTGTTCTTTTTTTTTTTTTTTACTCACAAAGAACGAGTTCACAGCCTTGAATTATTTGCGCGAGAAAAATACAAGGTTCCACGTTTTCACTAACGACATCGATTATTATTAATTGGATACGTAATCTTACGAATGAAATTTTTCTAGAGGTGTACATTTTCTAATGATTCTAATTGAAAATAAACTTTTTTATGAATAATTATACAAGAATGATTGATACATTCAATGTTTAATTATGAAAAATAATTTTTGAAGATTGACTAGAAAAGTTGTATTTTTAATGGATTGTGAATATGTTTAAAAATAAAATTTCGTCGAGTTGCTTTCGAAAATATTTCTCACGGATGAACACTCCGTTGAGAATCACTGAGTGACAGTAATTTTTATTACCGGTAAGTTACTTTATTAGTGAACGGCCAACAAATATACTTTTGCAAGAAATATTCTTAAAAGCAAATGAGAGAGTTTTACTCTTAAATGTAATTTTCGCGCTCAAATGGTTTTGATTTGATTTGGATTTTCTTAAGAATGAATAGCTGTCAATACAATATTCTCTTACAAAAAATATTGCTGAAAATAATTCTCGATTCATTTTCAATTATTCACATCATAAAAAATTGCTAACGTTAATTGAAGAGTTAAAAATCATAATTAAAAATAGAAAATGAGATTATGCTACAGTTTATATTATGTTACATAGAAAACTGTTCTTTTTTGCTCTTTTTCTCAATTTACAAATATAAATATTTCTCAAATTATTTCAACTTACGCCATTATGATTCTCATCCATCATAATCTATGATTCTCATCCAATTCTGTCCACCATAATCAAAATATCCCATTTAGTATTTCAAAACATCCAAGAAAAATATAAAGTTTTATCCTTTTCTTTGTACCATTTTTTCATTCAGAAGATTAAATTGGATCTGATTCTAAAACTCTCTGAATCTGTTTAAAACATAAAAGATATAAAATTTTGAATATTTCAACGTGAAAATCGTGAAAAGACTATTAAATAGAATATTTTTATCATCATAAAATATAAAATAGAATAAAGAGAGAGAGAGAGAGAGAAAAAGAGAAAATGATAGTTACAGGTAAAGAGGATGAAGAAGATCATAACATTCCTGATCGCAGCTGATCTGGCCGTGGCTCTGGGTCAAGAATACGGAGGAGGACATGCTTTGTTCGTCAGAACATCGCCATCCGGAGATGGTAAGCGAGATACGAGTCGACTCGTCGAGTCTACTTGACTACGATCGATTGTGAAGGAGAGAAAGCGATAACGTAGGATAAAGATTTAGCGAATTTGATCAAAGCAATCGTTTGAAATCCATTAGCGCATTCGAGAGTCCAGCGAGCTGCTCCGGTATCGCCTGCAGATGTGATGGCGCAAAATATCCTAGAGTGGATTCAAGGGATCTACCGGCAGGGTGCACGTAAACGTACGTTCTCCAGAAGGATCAACTCCTCTCGAGATATACCCTAGAAATTAAAAGAGGAAACATTATAAAACAATTCTAAATTTTTATTCTTTTTATTTCCTCTTTTGATCTCTTCAGTTCTCTAATGCACATATCATAAGTCGTTATTTTCAATTACAAATATTTATAAGGTAATAAAAAGTAGAAACTCACTAAAGAAAAATATTCCAAGGAAATATAATAATAATTCGAATATTTGAAAAGTGATACAATAGAAATAATAATTAATTGAAGAAATGGAAAAATACATAAATAAATAAGCATGTTAATAGTTAATAGCCACGTAACGCTATTATCATGTCACCACAGTAATTAATTTTAAAACGTATGTACATAGAGATGTGAAGAGATTAAAATCTCTATTTAAATAGAAACGGAAATTGGCACCCTGATATTTCAACGATCAGTGGCTCATGCTCAAAAGACATTTCCACGGATTAAATTAGAAACAATAACCATTTATCAAAATGCAATTAACCAAACTTTAACGAGAACACGCACGCTTAGTAGCAATTTTACACTGCATACCGTTCATAAAATATTACAATAAATTGCACATCTTATGTAGACAATTGATTAAATTTCGAATAACAAGTGTGGCTTCAATTTGTAAAAAAATGCATAAAGATGCATCTGTAAGAATGAATAAAAAATCATTTTATTAAAAATGTAAACAATATCGAGCTATACGATTCAATTATCAAGTATAATTATCAAATAGCGATATCTTGTAATCTAAAATTGTTCCTCTTGCAGCTCGTCAACAATCGGATCCTCCAGGATATCTACCACCGTATAGCACTCAAAGACCGCTGGAAAGACCTCGACCATTTCAGCCGCCTTCGACCAACCAGCCACCAACTTATACAACTCCTGCTCCAGTGACAAATTATCCTTACCAGAGGCCATCTGGTCAACCAACTACACCACAACCACCATTCTCCACTCAAAAACAAACGTATCTCCCGCCAAGCAAACAACCATACGTACCATCGTCTTACAATCCTCGTCCTAGTGAGACACCTTCCTACTCGAACGTTGGTTCTTCCGCTTTTCCACCATACAGTTCAACATCTCGACCATCCACATCCATTCAAACACCTGGTTATTCAGCTTCTGGAATCTCGACAAATTATGGTTACACGACATCTAACTTTCCTGCTACCTCCACACCATCCGGTTTCTCCACTACTTACGATTACTCGACTCAGAGACCAAGTCCTACATACATAGAACCATCTACTTATAGACAGCCTTCTGGTGGATATCCTTCGCCCAATGGATATTCATACGATCAAGGTGGATATCCTTCCTCATCGGGATTCCCCTCTTCTACTCCTGGTGGAGCATTCCCTCCTCAGACTGGCGGTGGAACTACTAGACTACCAAGCAGACCACCCAGTGGTCCTACCGGACAAGGTACTATGTTTTCGATTGCTTTCTCTTTTCAAAGCTAGATAGATTATATTCGATGACAATGCAAGTCACGAAGAGATTGTAATTCATATTTTATTCGTCATTGTAGGAACAAGCGGTTCTGGAACGACGATAGGTGAAGGTGCGACAGAAGATGATTTAAAACATCCTCCACACATTCATTCCCTCGATGTGGAGTGCAGTAAGACTATGATGACTATCAACATCGAGTTCAATCGCGCTTTCGATGGTGTTATTTATTCGAAAGTAAATAAGGAATATGATATTTTGAATTGTCATACTCATCTTTATCACATATTTTATATTCATCCTTTACATATTCGCAGGGATTTTATACGAATCCAGAATGTAGATATGTCGAGCAAAATTCTGGGCAGACGAAATATTCGTTCACGGTCAGTTTGGATTCCTGCGGTACTCAATTCATCAACGATTTCGCAGGTGAAGCTGGTCAGGCATATCTTGAAAATGTTTTAGTTTTGCAGGTAAAATTTCATTTCAAACTTTGCACAATTTCGATAAAATCTGAATCACTTAACTTTCTTTCTTCTCTCTGTTTAGAACGAACCAGGAATACAAGAGGTTTGGGATACAGTGCGAAGAGTTCGTTGTCTGTGGGAAGGGAACATTAACAAAGCCTTGACGGTGAATTTCTCAGTAGATATGTTGAATCAGGAAATAGTGACGTTCAGCGGTGACACAGCAACCGCTAAATTGGATATACAAGTGGGACGAGGACCATTCGCGCCTACTGCCGATGGACTCGTTAAAATCGGAGAGACCATGACTTTAGTTGTATCTGTAGAAGGGGATCCTGGCTTCGATCTTCAGGTTACAACAATATTTTTTTATATTAATTTTAATTCACTTTTAATTTTGTCTTCATTTTCCTTATTAAAAAAAAATAATAAATAAATATAAAAATATAAAAATAAATATAAAAAGAAATATACACATAGCTCTTAACGAAAATTTGCAAATTTCAAGGTACACGATTGTATTGCTCGCGACGAATCTTCGACCAATACGCTACAGTTAACGGACGAAAGAGGTTGTATATTAAAACCGAAATTATTCGGTGCGTTCCAAAAGACAAATGATACCGGAAATACAGGAGCATCGATTATTGCTTATGCTTACTTCCAAGCTTTCAAATTCCCCGATGTGATGGATCTATTCATCGAATGCAATGTGGAACTGTGTAAAACCGATTGCGAGCCTTGTCCAGAAATGAATCAAGTATTCCTGTGATATTCAATAATATATAATTATATATAAAATATTATAAAATTATTTTAATTTTTTATTACAATTAATTATTTTTTATGAATTGAATTAATTTATTGTAAAAAAACATTGTATTTATAACCTTTCCAGCAAATTGAACCAGGTAGACGGCGACGTTCGATAATGTATACACCGTCGAATACGACATCTAACGGTACAGCTGTATTACTATCTGATTCCATACGTATCGGTCGTGGCTTCAGAGTAATTATGGTGGACGATTTAAGCAAAGCTAGCAATCAAGTTTTGGAACAACTCGAAGAAACTGCTATCGAAGAAGTAGCGAGAAATTCAATTAATGTTTGCATGACACACAGTGGTTTTTACACCGCTATATCGTTCTTTTTAACTACTATTCTTGTGACTACCATCAGTGCAGTTACCCTTTACGTCAAGTTACAACGAGTATACGGATCGAAAGCCATTTATTCGTAGAAATTTGACTTGCTCTCGAGAATGATCATGAGTGATAGACAAATGTTACGGTGATAATTGATCGTTTTTCATTATAAGCTCAGATTTTTATTCGGGTTTATATTTCGTATTACGTTTCATTTTGATCCCTCGATAATCGAGTGAATAATAATGAATTGTAAAAATAGGAGACGATGCGAAAGATATGAAAAATATTTTAGGATCGCAACAACTTACTTGCCATTTTAACGATACATCGGGGCATTCATGTATTTTCGTTATTTCATCGCGAATATCGTTAATTCTACAGCCATATTTCCTATACCGATGTACGTATGTTCAACTTTCGTATTTTAATGAATTTTTTTTTCTTTTAGATATGAAATGACAATAGATTTTATTATTAGATATTTCTTATATCATTCGAATATCTCTATCTATAGCAGTATTTGATAGTCGAATATACATTGCGAAAAATTTGATGTTTAATTAGATACTTTACTAGACTGACATTTTTTTTTCATTAGAGATAATTGTTAATGAGTACAAGTTTCATGATTAAGAATAAAATTGTATAGGATGAAATATGATGAATAATATATATATATAAATAAAATGTAAAATAGTAAAAATTTAAAATAAAAAATAAGAAAGTAGCAAAATTTTCATTATTAAAATTTTTTAATTATACATAAAAACATATATGACGAAGATATTTTACTTTATTTTTTTAAAACGTAATATATACAAATGTTCTCCCCTTATTTTTCTTTCTAATATTATTTTGCCTGACATGTTTAAATCCATAAATGTACGTAAAATGTATTCAGGGTCATTTTCTTTAATAACCAATAGATAAAATATCCCTGTATCCGATAGAATATCGGGAATTTTAGGAAATACTCGCTCCATAACCTTTCTACCATTTTTACCACCTGCCCAAGACTTAAACAATATCTGCCTATTCAAAATTTCATCATCACTGGTCACCACATATGGTGGATTAAATAATATGATATCGAAAACACAATCACTACGTAAGAAACTTAATAAATCCATTTGTACAGTATCTACCTCTACCAAATTTTGCACAGCAGTCTTTTTTGTAACTTTACACGCATTAATATTAATGTCAATTGCAAGATAGTAGGATTGGCAGTATATTTTCAATGCCATTGCCAATGCTGTAATTATAATACCAGATCCACTACCTATCTCTAAACACATCACAGGTTTTGTAACTTTTAGGACCTCTAAATCAGCTTCTAAGGCATCTATCAAGAGGAAAGAATCCTCTGATGGTTCATAAACTGATTCCAAATCTTTATCCGATAATTTAACTATCGGTGTATTCATGATATATTAATGGAAAATAGATTGTTATAAGAATTTTTATATAATTTCTTCTTTTTTAAATAAATTCTAGATTAAATATCAAACTAATAAGATATATCACAATTAACTTATATTTATCATAATTATGATTCATTCATGTTCTTTAGAAATATTAGTTTCTTGTTCTGTTTCCACTTGTTCTTCTTTATTTAAAATATTAGAGGTGTTTCCATATGAAGAACTATGATCCAATAAAGCTTTTCTCTTTGCTGTATTCTTCTCCACTGCTTGATGAATTTTATTTAATCGCTCTTGTGTACTTTGTAAAATGTTACTGACAATTGTAATTTTATGTTTAGCATTAATTAGCTTTTTAACATAAGAATCAGTTTCCAATGGGCATTGCAATACTTCACTGATTCGTTGTAATTCTTCTGTCAATGATTCAATTCTCTGCTTTAATTCTATTTGACATATCCTATGAAAATCAATGAATAGTCATCATTGACATAATAATGTTTCAAATTTTATCACTGCTTGATTATTCGAAAAAATTTGATATCATATCGATAATGTTATGAATATTTACGTTTATTCACATACAAAAAATAAAAGTTGCATACCTCGTGGCACGAATTCTTTCATCTAATTGATCCACTGTAGGTTTCAGAAGACTCATAAGACCTTCTGTCAAAGCATCTCTCGTTGGATTTTCACAAAAATCATCTATCTTATCATCGATAGACGTATTATCACTTGCTGTATCCACGTCCATGTTTTACCATAGACAAAATACAAAATAGATGTGATATGCAATGCTTTTTCTTAGGAATTCGAGAATCACCTAACCTTTTTATCATTTTCGTATCAGATATAATATCGGTTTAATATAAAAAACAATTTTAGTTTTAATAACTAATCGAAATTAAAATCTAATTTTATTATGAAAACTATAAAAAATAAATAAGAATATTTTATAATAACCAAAATATAAAAATTTATATTTCTTGATTTGATTATTATCATTATATATATATATAATTTAAATAATTATAAAATAATTCATAAATCATTCTGAACATAATACTCATAATGGTTTCCAATTTTTTAGCATATAAATAAATTATTTATTCTTAAAATATTATTCTTAATGCGACAATATTGCTTTTTTCTTTTTATTCATGAAAGTTATGTAATAATAAATAAATAATCATTTTCTAATACAAAAAATTATACTCATAATCTATAAATTATAAGAAAAATATTATTTAATTTTTCATTAAATTTTTAAGTAAGATATTATTAAATTTAGAAAAATCTTATTAATATATAATATATGTATATTATATGTATATAAATTATATATATATTTTTATTTCTTAAATATACTGTAAATGAAATTTTTATATAATTATATTTTTCATTTTTATTGATATAAATTCGCTTAAGAGAAAAAAAACTATAAAATAAATATTTTTTATTATATAGCTTTTTCAAAAATTTAATAATTTATATTCAGATGTAAATTGTTATTTCAGACTTAAACAATTTTTATTTTAAATGTTCAATCTTATACTTTTTTAAATTCTTCAATAATTTTTGAATAATTTTTATATTAAATTAATTATAATAATCTATTTCTATTACTTTTCGCTATTTTTATGAAAATTTGATATCTAAATTTATGAAAATCTAAAATTAAATTTAAAATATAATGTATTATATTTCAATTTTCGCGCTGCAGTAAATGAGAATCGTATTTCAGCCAATCAAAAAGATGTTAAAATCTAGCGACAACACGAACCAGTGCGCATCATATTGCGCATTTCATTAGTATATAGTTGAAAATCATGGCGACAGGTTTTGTTTTGCCGGCAAGAACGTAATTATACAAAATTTTTATTAATACGATGTTACATTACGATTTTAAAGTTTAATTATATATTATACTTTGTTTAATACGTTTTTAATCCATCATTATTATACCAGAATTGAAGGTCTTATTACAGATTATTATTTAATTGTAACTTCGATGGCGGGATGGCTTCGAAATATAGCAATAATTTTTGCATATACCATAATAAAATTAAAAAAATTCGATAGTTTTTATGCAAATGTGGTAAGATTTTCTTCATTTGAATAAAAATAATTACTATAAATTTCTTTTGTCTTTTTATTCGCATAGGAAGTAGCTTGATCATTATAATTAATTTACACATATATTCCATATACATTTCAAACATATATTTTTATATATTTTTTTCTTAAATCTGACCATCTGGACGTTCAACTCCTGCGTTATCTTATCTTTGTTATGATCGTATATTCAAAGTTCCAAGGCTGAAAACATTTCTTATAATTGTCTTTCTAAAAAATTGACTGTTTACGTTCGTGAAACCGTTTGACATGTTTCAACTTGTCGAATTGTTGAGCATATCTCTCTCCATTTTGTAATTCGATACATTGAAAGGTACACCGAATATCATTTTGTTGTCGAAACTCGTACTCGTTAGACGCTTTGTTTCGAGTGTGAATAATTTATTGCGTAATATATTTGATACTTCTTTTTTTATATTATTCTGTTATGCTATTATTTTATATTGTTGTTTTGTTGTTGTTATGTTGCATTTGTTTTATTTATTAAATATTATTATAATTGATAATTATTTGAAGAACAATTTATTCCCTTTTTTTTTTATTCGTTTATTGGATCATTATAATTACCTCATATTAACTCGTATTACGAGCTTTTAAAATAAAATTCGATAGATTATTGCTTTATTTTTATTTATTAATTTAATAAATCTTATGTACTTTATATATTTATTTCAAAGATTTGATTTTTTTTTTTAGTCAGATAAATCGATTGTAGAGATTATTTTAGGCGGGAAACAGCATCAATATGGACGCCATGATGACATTCGTATTTTATGGAGGAAAAGTAAAATTTTAATTTCGAAGAAAAATGTAAGTATATATAATTCATAATTATATTGATTATGAAAATATGAAAATGATGATAGAAAAAATTTTGAAATAATTCATGATTCACTAAATTGTTTCTTATAAATTTTGAATAAAAATTTCACAAATATTTTCGAATACTTCTAATAAATTACGCATTGTTAATAATTTTAATAATGAACATTCAGAACGTAATTTTTTTTAAAAATAGTAGTATCTTTCTTAACAAATACTCGATAAGAAAAAAGAAAGAAAATGAAAACATTTTATCTTCCTTTACAATTTTCCTTTCTCCATTAATATAATTTTATTTTCAGATCATTGTGGCCACGCGCAATATGGTCTATAGAATCAGTATTTATTTCGCAAAAATATTTTTTATTTTTTTTAGAGCTCAATAGCTTCGTGAAGTGAATATCATTACAATAATACGCGAAACTATGTCAATGTTTGTCCGATGATATAAACGGATTAATTAATTAATGCATTAATAGTTTCTTATTTTTATTTTTTTATTTTAAATATTCGTTCTTGGTAGAGTCAGTTTTTCTCAAGAATAAGGCGATCATTCATCCTGAAGAGGTAATTATTTTTTCTTTGTTTTTTATTCTTCGTTGAAAGATAGAGACATTAAAGAATTTCAATTTTCAAATTTCAAGTTTTTAATCAAAAATATCAATTATTGTTATTATTTTTATTATACAATATGTATATTTCGATATTGATTATATTTTATAAAATATAATGTTCTATTTTTTGTTAAAAAAAAGTTAACATAAGTATTAATTGAATTAGTATAAAAAATAATTTAAATATAAAAAAAAATTTAACACAAATATAATCTAAATCAAAATAATACAAAAACATTTAAAAAACAATTAAATTTATCAAAATTTATCAAATTTACAATGTTAAATTCTTTTTTTATATGCAATTTTGTTGAATTTACTTAATTATTATGTTAAATTTTTCTTTTATGATTTTTTTTTATTAATTCATTTAATAGTTACGTTAAATTTTGTCTTAATTCTTTTAAATTAATTAATTTCTTTTTCGTTGTTTCTTCTATATTTCAAATTTTTTTTATTTTATAACAGTTAACTTTTATATTATATTCCTCTTTTATGTTTTATCCATTATTATTCTTTATTATTTATGTATTACAATATTAAATTCTTTTCTTATATGTTGCAGATTTATATTATTGTTATGTACATTATGCAACATTGCAAATTTTGCAAATTTAATCTTAAAATATATGAATAATAAATAAATATACTAACATAAGAAGACAATGTAAGATGCACATTCACTACTATAAAATAATAAAAAATAGAAGAAGAATTTAATCTCAAAGTTAAGAAAATCTAAAAGAATTAAAACATAAAAAAAAATATTTAACAGAAATATTACCTAAATCTAGGTAATAAGAAAGTATTTAAACATAACAATTAAATGTAGCAAAATTTACAATGTTAAATTCTTTTCTTATGTGCAGCTTTGTTAGATTTAATTAATTATTATATTAAATTTCTTTTTTATGTTTTTTTTTCTAATTCATTTAATTTATGCTAAAATCTTTTTTAAAATTTTAGTTCTTATAGATTTTAAACTTTAAAATTAAATTCTTTTCTAATGGTTTTAATCCTTTTTCACTTTATAATAATTAATTTTTCTGTTATATTCTCTTCTTATGATTTTATATTTATTCATTATTTATATATCATAATAAATTCTTTTATATGATGCAACATAACAATTAACTAAAATCTTACAATGCTGCAACATATAAGAAACATATTTTACATTGTAATACATAAATAATGAGTAAAACATAAAAAGAACAAAACATAAATATAATATAAAAGTTAATTATCATGAAGTAAAAGAAAATTAAAATATTGGAGAAGAATTTAACCTCAAAGTTAAAAAAGTCTAAAAAAATGGAAAGAAGAAACAAGGATTTAAGAGAAATATTATCTAAATCAAGAAAAACATTTAAATTTTCACAAAACAATTAAATTTTCTTTTTTGTATATGTTTTTTCTAACTCAAGAATTTAACACTGACATTAAATTCTTTCTTTGTTGTTTTAGCTTTTTGGATTTAGATTTTTTTCTTTTTTTTAACTTTGATATTAAATTCTTCTTTTATGTTTCATTCTTTTTTATTTTATAGTAGTTAACTTTTTGTGTTGTATTCTCTTTTAATTTTTTCATTATTCATTATTTATGTACTATATTGTTTGTAAATTTTTTTTATATATTTTTATATATATTTATTTTTCCAATTAAAATAATTTATGTAAGTTATGTGTAATTTATCTGTAAATTTCTTTTTATTTACATTCTCTATGTTTCTTTAGATTTATTTCATTTTAACGTTATTCTTCTTTTATATTTTAATGTTATATTTTAATGTTATAGAATTCTGTTCAGTTTTTGTTCATTCCAATTTAAAATATCTTACTTGTATTTCAATCTTTTCTAATCTCTTTGAATCTTTTATTAAATATATTTTCTCGTTTCTTTTTTTTCAGATTTAATTATGTTAAATATTCTTTTATGTTTTTTCTTTTGTTGATTTTTATATCGACATTACTTTCTTTTATTTAATGTAATTTAATTCCTTAAATTTATTTAGTTTAAATTCAACTCTTTGTTTGTTTTGATTATTTTAATTCAATTATTAAATTTATTAAATTCAGTTTTATATTTTATCCTCTTTCTATTTTTTCAATTTTTATAAATTTATTTAAGTTTTTTGTTACATTTTTCTTTTGTTTTTACTTTTAATTTTATTTGTATGTAA